CTTCGGGCCGCCCCATCCTGCTCAGCAGCCCCTTTCCGCTACCTGGCCGACCTGCTGGGCTTCGCCAGGCCGCTCTGCATCTCCGGCATCGTGAAGTACATGAACACCACGGACAGCTCCCCCGCGGCCGGAGCACATCAAGAGCAGCGTGAGTCCGAGGCTTTCATGCTGTGTTTACCTCAGAGCGGCTACTCAAGCAAGGTCCTCACATAAAACGTTTTGTGTGATATCCAAAGTAATGCTGCTAAAACACAGAGAATAAATATGTTTTGTCAAAAAATGTTTCATAAAAAAAAAAAATTGTAAAAAAATGTTTCAAAATTCAAATTTAAACAGGCTAGGTCAGAAATTATAATTGAAAGAAATATGAGGTTGAAAAATAAATTGGAAAAAAAGTCCAAATATGTTAAGTCAAAAAATCTACATTTGAAAAAAATATTAAGACATTAGATATCATTTTTTTCAAAGTCAAAATATGTTAAAAAATGTAATGAAAACATTTTTTGAAAAAAAAAGTAAAAAAATATTAGATCAAGTCAAGTCAAGTCATTTTATTTTGTATAGCCCAGAATCGCAAATTACAAATTTGCCTCAGAGGGCTTTACAGTCTGTACACATACGACATCCGTATCCGTGTTTTAAAAAAAAGTCTTGAAAAAAGAGGAAAAAAATATTGGGTCATAAAATGTTTTTAAAAAAAAGTCTAAATATGTCACGGAAATCAAAATCAAAATATGGTGGGTAAAAAAAAGTCATGAATAAAAAGTCCATAAATATCAATACATTTTTGGATAAAAAAAAATATATTATTAAACAAAAAATATTTAGAAAAAAGATAGGTGGAGAGGTAACACGCACGCGTGAACGCTCAACAGATTTGTTAGATGTTCGGTGGTCCAGCCAGCCAATGAATGACTCACTCCTGGTGTGATGTCACCGAGGGCGCTGGCTGCAGCCATCATGTCACCACCAGGACGTGATGATATGTCTGTAATGCCATGATACGCCGATGCCAAAACATCATTGTGCGCATGATGTGTGCACACAATACTTTAAGGCGAGAGGAACAGCGTAACACACCCCGTCCCCATGGCGACTGCACATCCTAATCGAGTTTTAACCTCCTCAAAGCATGGAAGGATGAGCCAGTAAATACTCAGTAAATAATCAAACATCGAAATCTTATACTTGCACTTTCACACAGTAGCTTTTAAATAACCAAATAATCTGGAAATAAAAGATTGTTGTTCTAATGATTAAACAAATCTTGTCATTATCAGAGCGAGTGGAAACCGCTCATAATTCTTCTGTATTTGTGTAGTTGTGTAAACAACTCCCTCAAACAACTGCATGTAATCAAACTGAAGCTCGGTCGAGTTCAAAGACTTTTGAACCTGACCAGCGGCGCTAACTGATGCGTGTTTTTATAGTGCGTCTCACGGGCAGCGCAGATAAAGAGCAGAACAGCGCTGCATGTCTGAGCGACGTGGAAAATTCCTCACTCCCTTCACACTTTAATGAGGGGGGGCCGTCAACAGTGTGTCTGTGTGTGTGTGATTTAAAATGATGGGGCCTTTTTAATCACAATAAATTAGGTCTATTGCCAAATAGCTTCTCACAAGCAAGATGTAGCTTTGGTTAAATGGTGCATAACACTAATATTAATAAATTAATAAATAACAAGTTGTTGTTGCAATAAATAAAACAGGAAACATCCATACAGAGTATTGATTTTTATAAAAATTCAACAAAAATATGTAGAACATAATAAAAAATAATAATTGCAAGAGACATGAATACAAATACATTTATTTTTCCTCAGGCTGTAAATGTTTTTTTTTCTTCTATTGTTAAGTTTCCCTTTTCAACATAGAGGTTTATGGGGATTAAGCTTCCAGCTGACTGGTGACGTCCAATCACATTGGCACAGGTGGCTCGTGCACTTCATGTGCCCCGTGTACTTTGTCGCAGGCGACGTCTTCAAGCGTGTACTTCCTGTGTACTCTGTGGTAGGCGACGCATTTAGGCGTGTACTTCATGTCCTCCACGGAGCTGCTGGAGAACACCTCGGTCCTGGCCGTGCTCCTCTTCCTGGCGTTGGTCCTACAGAGGACCTTCCTGCAGGCCTCCTACTACGTCGCCATAGAAACCGGCATCAACCTGCGGGGAGCCCTGCTGGTGAGCGCTTCGGGTCCACGGATGGAGGGAGAAGTGCAAAACATAAATGATGAAATAATGAAAAATATAAGAATAGCAACTAAGTGGGCGTACCGACGGTTTGTGCTCGTATGAACTGCCTCTCCTCACTGCTTTTACTTTTTCCAACCAGGCAATGATCTACAACAAAATGCTGCGTCTGTCCACCTCCAACATGTCCATGGGGGAGATGACGCTGGGGCAGATCAACAACCTGGTTGCCATAGAGACCAACCAGCTGATGTGGTTCCTCTTCCTCTGCCCCAACCTGTGGGCCATGCCCGTACAGGTGGGCGGACCTCCTTTCTTTATCTCTTTCTTCTCACACCTCCGTATCCAACGTCCCGCCGGTGGTGACGGGCGAAGGTGATGCGGTTTCCCTCTTTTCCCCCCTGTCCCCGCAGATCGTGATGGGAGTGATCCTGCTCTACTACCTGTTGAACGTCAGCGCCTTGGTGGGGGCGGCGGTCATCGTCCTGCTGGCGCCGGTCCAGTACCTCATCGCCACCAAGCTGGCCGACACGCAGAAGAGCTCCCTGGTGAGCACCTGCCTCGGGAAACGCATGCGGAGGTCCGAGCTGTCGGGTGACGTTTCTCCTGTTCTTTCGGCCTCCCGCTCAGGAACACTCGACGGATCGTCTGAAGAAGACCACGGAGATCTTGAAGGGCATAAAGCTGCTGAAGCTGTACGCCTGGGAGAACATATTCTGCGACAGCGTGGAGGAGACCAGAGGCAAAGAGCTCACCAGCCTCAAGACCTTTGCTCTCTACACCTCCATGTCCAGTAAGGTCCAAAATAAATCTCTCAGGAAGCAGGTTGGTTGCTTAGTAACAGAAGACACGAGGTAGCGCTCGGATAACATCAAACACAGGTTTAATGGAACAAATGCACAAATGAAACTGTTCACTGATGAGCTCTGATGAGCACTCGGCAGGTGGTCTAGATTCTACCCCCTAGTGTGATGACCCCCCCCCATTTAAACCCGTCTTCTCTCCCTCTGCAGTTTTCATGAACGCCGCTATCCCCATCGCCGCCGTCCTCGCGGTAAGACAACGCCAACCTCCCCCGGACCAGGCGTCCTCCAAACGCTCTACGATGCACCGCTAACACCCGGGTTTACTGCCCCCCCCCCCCCCCCTCCCCCCCGACCCCCTGTTCTCGTAGACGTTCGTGATGCACCACTTCCTGAAACGGGAAGGGCCCCGCTCCGTCGGAGGCTTTCGCCGGCCCTGGCGTTGTTCCACATCCTGGTCACGCCCCTCTTCCTGCTGTCCACCGTGGTGCGATTCGCCGTGAAGGCGCTGGTCAGGTGGGTGGCGGTGGTGGGGGGGGGGGGGTCTAATTAAAGGAACACGGAGGAAATCCGACAGCAGTGAAGAGAAACTAAACCCCTGAGAGATTACCGGTGTGTCGTTATCCTCACAATCACGCCCGTGTGCGTCTGCGTGTGTGTGTTTGTGTGTCTCCACAGCGTCCAGAAGCTCGGCGAGTTTCTCCAGAGTGACGAAATTGGAGACGACAGCTGGAGGAATGGAGACATGTCCGTTTTCATGGAAGCAGGGAAAAAGACCCCGGGGGGGGTGAGTGTCGCCGAAAACGGAAATCAACCGACGGGTTTTTCAACGTTAGGCCGGATTTGTCGTGTTTCACGATGACACGTGACCCTCGAGTTGTTAGGATTCTCTTTGGCTCCTCCTCGCAAACCCAAACGAACCTGTGAGGTCTAAAAAGTGTAAAAACGTGACACCGAATTGGAAGAGGGCGTCTTTTATGGCGGCTACTGGCAGACAGACAAAAGAGCACAGAACCACAGAGGGGCGCGTTTAGTCACATGAAAAGACTCGTGATTAATGAGGACCTCCAAACAGCCAAAAAGGATCCAAACATCTGTCCCGTGTTTCAAACAAAGCCCACTGAAGAGGTGCCAAGGCGTCGCTCAACATTCCTTCCGTCTTAGTCCAGGTAACGAGCGTCGTATGACATCATCACGCCGGTCCTCACCGGCAGGAGACATTAAGGAAGCATCACTCCCGATTATTAAGTTACTCTGCCGAGACTCCCTCCCTGTATCTCCTCTATCCTTCCCACCCCCCCCGTCCCAAAAAGACGAGAGAAGGTCTTGAGTTTGTTTCGCTAACTTCAAATCCCATCTTTTTCACCCCCAAGACCAAAGCCATCAACAGAAGGCAGCCCATGCGCTCCCAGATGGACAACTACGAGCAGCCGCCCCGGCGTCAGATGAGGCCCTCGGAGACGGAGGATGTGCCCGTGAAGGTCGGGGGTCGAATTTCACATGTTGGGGAAATTGGTTTATGGGGAAGGGAGGGGGAGGGGGGGGGGGGGCTGTGGTGGCTGAACTTCCTGAGACACAGAGGACACAGCTCCCAGTGTCCAAGGCTCAGAAGACTTTGGGCCTTTTGGTCGCAGATGTTTTGTTAGGGACTAAGAGAAGAACTTCCTCATTAGCAGGAGGCGCCGCGATGCTACGGGGGGGAAATAGGAGAGCAAAATACTTTCATTTTAAAAGTAATTTTTCCCAGATGGAAGATAAACAAACCTCCTGCTTCCTCTTCTTAAATGATTTTTTTAGTGACAGTAAAAAACTATAATAAGGAGTCAAGACGGAACTCTTTATAATAAAGATTGAGCTTCAGCTTGTGCAGGAAGCGTCGCTCTCACAGGATGACGTGTGTCACGCACACACACACACACACACACATTTAGGAGCTGTTTCACATCTGCACTGTTGGTACATTCGAGGTTCATTTGTACGTGGAATCATACATGTGACTAGCGTGTGTGCGTTTGTGTCCTCTCAGGAAGTGTGCGGTTCACACGAGAATCCGTTGCCCCTAAAGGGCCTCGTGACGCCGCCCCCTCCCCCGCCCCCCCCCCGTGGAGGCTGCTCCTCCAGTCTCGTCCCCGTGGTGACCAGACGGCCGTCCGATGTGCGACAGAGAGCTTTAGATAAAGTTTAGGACGCGCACGCTGACGGAGGTTAACGTTGATCCTGCAGGTGTCGGGCAGGTTTGGGGGCGGGGCTTATATATGATGATGCTTTTCTTCCCATGTGGTCCTTTTAGCGCACGGGACTATTTCCTGCAGATTCTTACTTGATTAATACAGCGGTGACCCGTCATGTGACCTGGCGTCTATGATGAATTACCCCCCCGCCGCCTGTCTGATAGCATCTGGCTCGCTTTCCCGTCCTCACAAACCTCGAGTAGGACTCAAGAGAGCTTCTACATCTTCACGCAGTGTTTTGCTTGCACAGGAAAAAAGAGGTTTTTAAGCCCTTTGGATGCCACAGGGGGAAATGAGTTGTGGGGGCGGCTCGGAGGGGTTGTCCGTTAAAATAAACATGAAATAAACAAACAAATGCAACAGATGGGAGGAATGTAAACCAAAGTCGAGGCAGGAAGCAGGGTGATGGATCACCGAGGTGGGGGCTTCCATTCGATGGGGCATCGTGCTGGAGCCGGAATATTGAAACCATCCAATGAGTGGACTCTGACATTGACATGAGAGTATCTTATAATATATAAATATATGTGAAGACAAACAAAGCTTATTGCATTTTGAATTAAACGAGATATTTGACAAAAGGACATTTTAGTCCAACTCGAATGTCCATTCGAACATTTAACTCCTCCTGAATATTCATTCGTACGATTTCCTTCTCTGCAGGTGAGCAACGGATCCTTCACCTGGGGAAGCAACCTGTCCACGCTGTCCGACATCAACATCCGCGTCCCCACCGGTGAGTCCGACCTGCGACCCGACGCCTCGCTGCGAGCGCGTTGTGGACGAGTCGCCCCCCCCCCATTGGCCGATGGGGAGAACGCAGGATCGGGCATTAACGCCATTTGGCTGCGTTACGTTTTGGTCGTTACCCGACGCGGATGGAAGCTGATCTAAAAAAACTGTATTTGTGGTTCGTTACACGTAGAGGTGACGGGGAAATGTTGACCTCCAGCGGGAGTGACGTTTTAAAACTGGCTCTATGGCTGTTAGAATGTGAATGGAACGTGCTTAGAGAGCCACTCCTCGAATAGCCGGCCCAACAGATGGTCCGTGAGGCGCGTCGCGCCTCCACCGTCCCCCGGGGAGTCGGCGGTAGCTCGCTCCCCCGTCGTGCACAGGATTGGTTGTTATGCAGAGCTCTGGTGTCACTTAAAGTGTGCGCGTGTTCTTCCTGAGATTTCAAAAGGAATGTCTCAGGGGGGCGGGGCTTGTGGGTTACAGCTGCAGGGCTGACGCTTAGATTCATTGAAGGACAACGCCGACGACCTCGCTCTCGACCTCCCCTCTGTCTCCAGGTCAGCTGACCATGATCGTGGGCCAGGTGGGTTGTGGGAAGTCCTCCCTGCTGCTGGCGATGCTCGGCGAGATGCAGAGCATCGACGGAAGAGTCCACTGGAGCAAGTAAGACTTGATGGATGAGCCAGATGTTGAGATGTGTGGACACTGTGGCTTCACGCAACACATTGTGTACTTGTTGACTCCTATTGTGTGTCCGTGGACACGGTGGAGGCGTCCAGGGCCAACCTTTCAACTGATCTTCCTTTTCATATTCCATCTTGCTCATTGTGTCTTTCTGTCTTCTTGCCTTCCTGTTTCTCACACAACAGAACAAACATGTTTTAAAGTCATGAGTAATTTAACCATCGTTATATAACTCAAGAATTCCTACGCTAATGATTACAGTTTAGTTTTCCCAGACCCGATGAGGCAGCGGTTCAAGCTGTTTTACGTTTTTTGTGGTGTTTAAAACGTGCACCTCTGCTCCTTGTGGCCACAGCGGGTATTACAACAACAAACTGCGTGAGACCTTCATGGCCCCAGTTTCTCTTTGTACACTTTCAGGACTTCTTTCCTAGAGGACGTCTGAGTGTCAATCAGACGTCTCTGCTGCACACTAACATTTCCTGTGTGTGTGTGTGTGTGTGTTTGCACATCTGTGCCTCTAATTATGGGACTGTGTGTGTGTGTGTGTGTGTGTGTGTGTGTCTCTTTGCCTCCTGCCTTCTTGCCGTATCAGGCTGCCTGATAATGAGACGCTCCACGAGGAGAACATCAGGTACTTTCTCTCTGGTCCCTTTCTTCATAAAATATAATAATGTACACATTCTGCAAACTTCCATTTGTACTCTTCATCCATTTGTCTCATTAACTGGGCGTTTTTAACAACTTTTAAGTAGCTTAGTCCGCTTCAAAGACACCACCCGTACAGTGTGATCAGCAGCCAGAGCGCGTTTGGTCCACAAAGCACCGTCTCCATGGCAACAGTATCTTGACAACATCATCGCCGCTCTGACAGACGAGCGAGCTCCATTGTTTTTTATTACCTACTGGGGCTTCTTTCAGTTTGCTTTACAAAGTGTCGGAGGACCACTGCTTCGTACTGGGAACAGCTGAAGGGAGATTTATGGAGCACAAATATTATTTTAAGAGTTGTTCATTGATACACACAGGAGTTCACCTCCAGAGCTGCACAGCATGTCTGTCTTTTAACTCCAGGCTCAGATCTCCCGGTGGGATGTTACATAAATATCCGTGGAGGCCGATTGGACAAATTCAACCTTTCAATCGTCTCACGCGTCTCGTGCTCGTGAAACACAAGACGTGGTGGAAGAAGCCACAGAACCTTATTTAGGGTCCATTGCCCTTACAGACAGTGACCTCATCACTTCCATGGCTGGTCTTCCTGCTGGGGGGGGGGGGGGGCGTTATTCTATTATCGGTTATCGGGAGACGCACTCATTATCTGCTGTTTTTTGCATTAAAGCAATTCTTGTTACGTTGTGTCTCCCTCTGTTCTCTCTGCCCACGTCTCCATTTCACCAGAAAACAAGTCCTCCGCCTTGTGCGTCCCTCTGTCTCTCTCTGTCCCTCTGTCTCTGTCTCTTTTATTGCATATGTCCACTCATAATCTCGAGCATGCACGCGGTTGATTGCCGCAGACTCGCTCTAACGCGGTGACGTGACTTTGACAGTTGGTCAGGGGCAGAGGAGTCTGACGAAGACATCAGGAGGTAGACGCCCCCCCCCCCCCCCCCCGTATCCCGCTTCCTGTTTCAAACCTGGAGGGACCCCTGACCCTTGACCCCCCCCCCCTCTTTGATGGGAAAGGTATAACTCCATTTCCCGTCTCCACCCCTTCAGATGAAGTACTGTAGTATTTCATGCTCTGTTGTTCATGGACGCACACAGGCTACATTTCATTATTAGGTGCTTTTTATTTTTTATATTATTAAGTGAATTTAGGTTCAAAATTATTTTGAGGAAAAGTTCAACTCCTCTTTGAGTAATAAAAGATGACGGCTTGCTCTGAAAACTCAAGAGGAAAAACAATAAAATAAACAGGAAGTAAATCCAGGCCCTTCAGAATATAAGACCAAGTCACAAGTATTAATATTACAGTGGCTGATTCATTAAGACAAATGTTTTAAATATTTTAAGATTGTGTTGTAAAGAGGATTAAGTAGTCTGAAATATCTCTTATTCAAAGCCTTCTACAGCAGCGTTGTGTTAAAGTGTGTGTGTGTGTGTTCAGGAACAACCTTCTGCTCATCGCTCCTCTTCTTCTCCCCTTAAGATGGTTTGTGGTTTTTGGGTCGTGACCCCGGTGTGGTTCATGCTGTCAATGCTGGGAGTCACTTTGCTAACTCAAACAAACACTTATTGTCTGTAATATATTAACATTATGATCTGTTGACTGTAGTCGGCTCAAATGAAACATAGTTATTCAATAAAAAGGTTAATTAGTTGGAATTATAATTACGTTATAAAGGTTCTGTTAGCATTCCAGTCTTATTTTTCCCATTAGAACAATTTTAAGACCTAAAAACTGCATCTAAGGTCTCAACAGGTTCCCAGCAAAGTGCTGCAGTGGTTGTTGTTGTTGTTGTTCTATTGTTCGTTGTTGTTTGTGTTGTTGTTGACATTTCGGCTCATTAACCCCATCCATCATCCATTTTTCTCCTTCATCTGTGACAAAGTGTTGCTGGTGTTGTTTGATATCCTCTCTGTGATGAAGCAGCTGCTTAGAACAGGAGCGCTGATCTGAAGGCAGATTTGAGGGACTATTTAAACCTTCTTAAAGACTAAATAGTGTGTTTTAACTTAACCATGATAAAGGGTGCAGGAGGAATACTAATTATGTGATTATGGAGAGAAATAAATAAATACAAAAAATAAATACAAATACTTTCCATTTATCATTCAAATCTGCTGCTTAATGTATTATTGAAATGACATATATAACATATGTTTAATCCTAGAGAAAATAATTATTCTCAGTCTAATCTTGTTATTTTGTTTGACATTTATTTCATAAACTCATCTGGCAGACCAAAAATACATCCTTCTTATATAATGTAATATAATTACACCATGTGTACAGTAATATTCCGACAAAAAACAAATGTGATTTACTGAAATATTGATATAGAGAATATAAAAAGAGGGAATGCTCTTTCTCTTAAAAAAGTTAAACCATCTTTGTGTAGAAATGATGAAATAAATGCTTCCATTACCTAAGACAAAAAATAAATAATTAAATAGTGGTTTGAAATGTGAATTCACCAAAGAAACGTGCAGTGAATGTCGATCAGTCCTCCTGCTCTCTCAGGATGTATGAAGACAGGACTTGTAGTTCTGATGCCTCTGTTTGCCTCCGTTTCCCATGATGCACTGCAGCAAGAACAGATACTCCGTGGCCTACGCTACCCAGAAGTCCTGGCTGCTCAATGCCACCGTGGAGGAGAACATCACCTTTGGAGGCCCTTTCAATAAACAGAGGTAAAACATCACAACCCGATATATCGTGACGTATTGCGATTAATCGCAATGTATCGTTCGTCGTGATAAATGTCCGTGGGTACGGGTGACACTCGTAGACAACAGGCGGAGATGCCTTCTCACAATGTCGTGTGTTTCAGGTACAAGACGGTGATCGACGCCTGCTCTCTGCAGCCCGACATCGACCTGCTGCCCTTCGGGGACCAGACGGAGATCGGAGAGAGGGTACGCCGTCCGATTACCTGATTCTGCGTTCCTCAGTGATGTGTTACTAACTAGGAATAGGGCTTTGAATATCGTGGTCATGTTAACTTAGTAATATTTTTATTAAGTTAGCCTATAACTTGATCTCCAGCCTCTTTATATCTCAGTCTAACATCTAACACAGTAATTTTATGTCTAATTGATTTGATGTATTACTTATCTAGTAAGGAATACTAAAAGTACATCCAACCTATACATTTTAAATGCTAAAAATATGGATTCAAGCAGAATAGATTGCTCATTTTTTATTGTGTGTCTATTGTGCGTCGCTTCACACATCAAGGCTGTTTCTCGTGTGATTATTTCACACCTCAATTCAGCTTTTTGCTATAAATGTTTTCACACCGAACATTGGTGTTGTCAGCAAATAAACGGCAAAGGGAACATTTTTCTGAGCTTTAGCTCTGCGGATAAAATAACTTTTATTCCACTTTGAGCAGCGCTTCTGTTGTCCCCTTCCACAATAAAAGCCCTGGACATAACATACTTGGATATTTAACATTTTTGTGTTAATCGCTGCGTCCCGGATGGCACTTTACTGGAATCTAACCCTACTCATGAAGCATGAACTACACGTGCTAAGATATTTCTTTGTGATCCAGGGCATCAACCTGAGTGGAGGCCAGAGACAGAGAATCTGTGTGGCCCGAGCGCTCTACCAGAACACCAACATCGTCTTCCTGGTGAGCGTTGTCATCATCGTGTGTCGTGCACAGCTGGATGAGATTAATGGCCCCGCGTGGCCTCTGGGACGAGGAGGCGTCCGTCTCTCTCTCTCCGCTCTGCCGTCATGTGTTTGTCTCTCCGGCTCGTAATGGGCGAGCGAGCGGTGCGCTCCTCGCTAAAAGCCGCCGCTCGTTGATCCCTGTGATGTCCTCCGTGGTCATTTCTGTGCTAGCGAGGAGGGGATGTTTTCTTTAATAGAAGTAAAAGGGGGCGGCTGCTTGGGCTTCTCGTATCTGATCTGGGGATTGAATTATGCATCATGATGAATTACATCAAATTATCCCAACGCTCTATAGCGCAAACCCGCCCGGCGAGTGACCGCTCAACGTCCCATAATCCACCGAATGTAAACAGGACGCGGGACACCGTGCATTTGAGGCCGAGGGAATCGGGGGTCACGCCCGTTCTTGTTTGCCCCGCAGGACGATCCCTTCTCCGCGCTGGACATCCACCTCAGCGATCACCTGATGCAGGAGGGCATCCTCAAGTTCCTGCAGGACGACAAACGCACTGTCGTCCTGGTGACCCACAAACTGCAGTACCTCATTCACGCTGACTGGGTCAGAACCAATCGAATCCCTCTGATCTGCTCCCTGGAACACGTGCAGAAGGTCTCACGCCTCAAGTTCTTTTTTGTGTGTGTGGCACCAGATCATAGCGATGAAGGACGGCTCGGTGCTGAGAGAGGGAACGCTGAAGGACATCCAGACGCACGACATCGAGCTTTACGACCACTGGAAGACGCTGATGAACCGGCAGGACCACGGGCTGGAGAAGGTAGCGGACACGAGCAACATCTGGGGACATCATGAGTAGCTTCAACAGCTGTGGTTCTGTTGTGTCTCCGCAGGACGTTCAGCAGGACAGTCAGACCACGCTGGAGAGGAAAACGCTGAGGAGAGCGTTCTACTCCAGAGAGGCCAAGAACCAGATGGACGACGAGGACGAAGGTGACGCATCCACCGCTAAAAAGGATTCATCGGCCCTCTTCCTCTTCAGAGAGGGATTTACGTTCTTGAGTACTTGATGTGTTGATTTCCTGTCCTATCAGAGGAAGAGGAGGAGGAGGAAGACGACGACAACATGTCAACGACCACTAACAGAAGGTCAAAGATCCCGTGGAGGGTAATCCGAGCCCGGCGCCGCTGATGAAGACGGATCAATGGTCTGCAGCGTCGGTGCGGCGGTGTCCTATGTTGAGATCCCTTCTGCTCCCCAGGTGTGCTGGTGCTACATGTCCTCTGGGGGCTTCTTCATGGTCTTCCTGATGGTGTCCTCCAAGCTCCTCAAGCACTCCGTCATTGTTGCCATTGACTACTGGCTGGCAATCTGGACTTCCGTTAAAACCACCGGGACTGTGGACAGCAGAACGGCCAACGCCACGGGTCCTCCCCCAGCGGCCGAGGTATGATGTCACCGACGAGGGATTTTTAGAGTTTAGAAAGATAGTTTTGTCTATATTTGCTTGAATGTTTTTATGATTTGGAATTTTAATCTCATAAAATCTTTAGTGTCAATACGATTATATCATTGCCCTTGTTGTTGAGTATCGTGTGTGTGTGTGTGTGTGTGTGTGCGACCCACAGGACGACTCCCACTACCTGCCGGTGTTCATCATCCTGTGTGCGGCGGGGATCACGCTGTGCCTCATCACCTCTCTCACCGTGGAGTTTCTGGGTCTTTCTGCAGCCACAAACCTGCACCACAACCTGCTCAACAAGATCATCCACGCTCCCATCAGGTGCGCACACACACACACACACACACACACACACACACACACACACACACACACCTGTCCACACACACACCACGCCTGCAATGCAGCTTCCCACATGTGCATTTTGGTAAAATAAGTGTTTGTGGGGTGAAGTTGTTGACACAGGGAGCTTTAATGCCCCCGTCGCCATGGAAACCCTGTAAGCACCTGACCTGGTTCTCTGTGCTCGTCCAGACCAGCGTGTTTCCTTAGTGACCTCAGTGCAGAAGCTAATAAACGCTTGAAAAAAGAAGAAGAAAAGTATAGAAAGGCTTCTTCAATACAGCATGACGTTCATTTAGTGAATTTAGAAGCATGTAAAATGCCATTCAGATGTTATTTCGCGCGTTTTACCGCCTCTCTCCTCAGGTTCTTTGACATCACTCCTCTGGGGCAGATCCTCAACAGGTTCTCCGCAGACACCAACATCATAGACCAGGTAAGCCGACGTCTTCAAGGTCAAGACGAGTCGCGCTGACGGTCACATTAAAGTAAGCAGAGGGAGAAGAAGCCGGCGTACGTGAATCGAATTGTCCTCCCTCAGCACATTCCTCCCACGCTGGAGTCCCTGACGAGGTCCACGCTGCTCTGCTTGTCGGCCATCGGGGTCATTTCCTCCATCACTCCGTTCTTCCTCTTCACCTTGGTTCCCCTGGCCGTGGCCTTCTACTTCATCCAGAAGTACTTCCGGGTGGCCTCCAAGTGCGTCCACGCTGTATTTGATGTGTTTATTTAACTGTTTAGGTTTCATGGTCACGTCAAATCCATTTAAACTTTGGTGTGAACCACAAATGAAGAGCCTCATCTGTGGGTTGTACGTACTTGTACTATTACGTATTGAGAACCCTCTCCTTCTCTCTCAGGGACCTCCAGGATCTGGACGACTCCACCCAGCTTCCTCTGCTCTGCCACTTCTCTGAGACCGCTGAAGGTCTCACCACCATCCGAGCGTTCAGGTGCCACACACACACACACACACACACACACACACACACACACACACACACACACACACGTAACTTACATCCTGTCTTCACTGGACGTACCTCAGCTGCACTTCTCATTCCTCCCACCTTGTACCTGTAACTACGCGAGAGGTGGCATGACAAGAAGCTCGTGATCCATGACGCATCATGCAGCTGCAGCTCCGTGATGCAGATGTTGGCAGTACGTCTCCAGCTGTTGGAGCCTGCGTTGCACTCGGCCCTCACAATTTCTTTGTATTTCCGTCTTCAATCTCGTTCCCATCGTTGCTGTAATCCAACATTAAACAGCTCTCACGCTGTTCTCCCCCTCTCCTCCCCGAGGACTTCCTCTCTCACACAAACACACACACACACACACCGAGAGACTCACACACACACACACTGAGAGACTCGCACACACAGAAGCAGTGAATCTGGTGTTCCAGACAGATTCTTGGCGTCATCACAGGATCCTTGTGAAGGAGGTCTTGAACGTCCTCTTTTCAGACACGAGGCCCGGTTCAAACAGCGGATGCTGGAGCTGACGGACACCAACAACACCGCCTACCTGTTCCTGTCTGCCGCCAACCGCTGGCTGGAGGTCCGGACGGTGAGCGCCGCTTTCCCTTACGCGTCCTCTCACAGACATTATGAAGCGGTCTAGCATGCGCGTGAACGCCACGTTCCCCTGCAGGACTACCTGGGGGCGGTGATAGTGCTGTCGGCAGCGGGAACCTCCATATGGGCGAGCGGCTACGGCTTTTACTCTGGAGGCCTCGTGGGCCTCGGGCTCACGTACGCCCTCACGGTGAGCATCTCTCTCTCCAGCCGCGCTGGCGGCGACTACGTGTACCAGGGTGCATTTGCGCGCAGGCTTCTGAACGCCTTCAGGGTCCTCGTGCCGCTGACCCCTCTTCTCCGACTAGGTCACCAACTACCTGAACTGGGTTGTGAGGAACCTGGCAGACCTGGAGGTCCAGATGGCCGCCGTGAAGAAGGTCAACAGCTTCCTGGGCACCGAGTCGGAGAACTACGAGGGAACTATGGGTAACTGAGTTCCTGTTCGTATCCCTCGCTTTAACCCAGAAGCTGTATTTCGGGTTTATTTATGGGATTAGTTTACTGACAACTAACCGAGCCCAATCGAATCCAACCGAAGGGAAACTTTGTGGCGAATGGAGGGTCTTTTAATCGGGACAAAGCAGCTTCTGGAAACAACCAACGCAATTATTAAGTTTGAGGAAAACAAGATTAGCAAAAGTCAAAGACAGACGTTATTTGGAGGAATGTGGATCTCTGCGTCCCACATGAGCCTCGTTGTGTCTCAATGACACAGACGGTTTCTTTCTCTCTGACGTCACGGAAGCTTCCGGCGAATTGATGGGAAAAAAAAAAGGGAGGAATCCCTCGATCCCCTCAGCACTACTAAGAAGTCCTCCCCAGCATGGAGAGGTGAATAATGTGGCCCTCATGGAGAGACCCCCTGTGGAGTTTACTCTACTCTAAATAATCCACTTTAAACTTTCATGTTCACCGGATGGAATGTTTATATCAAATCATCAGTCAAATCAATCAAGCTGGATTCTTTAACCGAAGGAAAAATAGAAAAAATAGATGCTCTGATGAACAAATACAAACTGTAAACGTGTAAATGTAAATCAATGCTCACGCCGTTTGAACCGTGCAGCTCTGTGCTCGCTGTCAGGTGTCGATGCTTTGACTAAATGACAGTTAGCAGACAAAGCTCTAAATGCACATAACGGTACGGCGTTAAGACTTCTTCCATAATGTCCATACGCCTCCCCCCTTCCTCCCCTCCTCCCCTCCTCCCTCCTCCCCCTCAGACGCCTCTCAGGTGCCTGAGAACTGGCCTCAGGACGGCGAGATAAAGATCCAGGACCTGAGCGTGCGCTACGACCCCGTCCTCAAACCTGTCCTCAAGCACGTCAACATGTTCATCGAGCCGGGCCAGAAGGTAACGCCACGCGGCCGGGAGGCAGAGCTACGTCATTGAGCTACGCCATTGAGCTACGTCATTGAGCTACGTCTTTAATCCCGTCTACGAGTCACGAGTCTCCGTTTAACTGGGATCTGCCACTCGGCCGTGGGCCGTTACCACGCAGGTGTCTCGTGTCTCAGGGCGGTGTCACCCTGCAGCTTATTGCTTGTGCCCCCCCCCCCCCTCCCTCCCCCAACCATAAGTGGGGATCTGCGGTCCCACTGGGAGCCGGGAAGATCCTCTCTGTCGCTTGGCCTTTCTTCAACATGGGGGACAATTAATGAAGGGGGGTCTGTCCGCTTCTTTCCATCTGTCTCATTAAAGAGGGCAATTTTAGGGATATTTCCCCTGAAGAGCTACTTTACACCCCTAAAAACAACCTTCTGTGTCTCAAAGCATCTTAGAGAGATCGAGTTGATGGTTAAAAAAACCTTCAGACTTGTTTTTTAAATGTTTCTAAAGTAGATAAATTCTCCGTTTGGCCGGTGTTTTCCTCCATTGGTGAAATGACCTAATCTGTGATTAAAACAAGAGTGATATCCTCTTGTCTTCTTGTTTGGGTGATGTTGTTACTCTACAGACATCATGTAGGTGAATCTTTATAGTTTAAGGAGTCGATGGGAACACAGAAAGCGTTCACAACGTTGTTCAAAATGAAAGATTGACTCAGCGTACTTTTTAACAAGTTGGAAACGACCTCTTTAAAACGCTGCAGCAGATCGTCCTAAATGTGGATCATCAGACGTGAGATTCAAACAAAGCGGTTGAGGGGATTTGACAGCAGAAATGTTAATGGGAGTTTTGTTCTAGATGCACTTCAGAAGATGCGTGGGTGAATGCTTATGTTGGAACATGCTTCCCTTCCACCTCATTTTAAACACTCCTGCAGGTCCCTTTCCTTAGTTCTGTGTGTGTGTGTGGCTTCACTCTGGGATACCTGACGTGAAGGGGACTCTTGCGTCTGAGGAGTGAAATAAGGACAAAACAAATGACGTGCTCCTTCACGTGTCGCTCTAATTCCTTCAAGATGCCCGTCGCCGTCTCTTTAAACCCTCCCTCTCTTTTATTTATTGCATTTAAGAGCGGTGTCATCGGCTCATGAAGATGACTTCGCCCCGACAGATTATTCCACCACAGATTAGATTACAGTCACTTTTTCCATACGCACACTCAGCCGTGAATCCAGACGTCTCATCCAACAGTAAATCGTCAAGTGTGTAAAGTGTGTGTGTGTGTGTGTGTGTGCGCGCGCAGTGTTTCCTTATAAAGCAGTGAAGTAAAAGCAGAGCGGTGATCGCTCTGCTTTTCAACTGGACATTCTGGATTCAACCGACAGGACATAAATATTTAGTTTATCAGCGTGAGAGCGAGTAAAGGAGTTAAAAGGGGATTATTTCAGTCAGAAATAGAAATAAAGGAGCGGTGATACCGTGTAGGTTTGTCTTTTGGGGGTTTGGTTGTCAGGCAACACACACACACATACATCTATAAATCTATATATATATAGATGTATATATATGCAGCAATGGCAGTGAACGGTAAATCTAGAGGCCAGAAGTACTGAAGCCAAAGCAGTGTTACTGAAGTATTTGGCCTGGTGATGTATCGCGTTTGGTTTGGCTGCTTCCTCTATCAGCCCTCTGGAATCAGAGGCTTTGCTTTTATGTTTTCTGTTTAAATTACAACTAATGTCGGCACATTACGCACAGTGCAGAATAATAAGGAGATGGAGACACGGCCGTGCTTTAGGGTGTTTGTGTGGACGAGGGTCACCACAGGCGCTTTGAGGCGCTGCTGATGCGAGCGCACGTTTGCTGTCCGCAGGGAAGATCGTCATCGACGGGATCGACATCTGTAAGCTCCCCCTGCAGACGCTCCGGTCCCGCCTCTCCATCATCCTGCAGGATCCAGTGTTGTTCAGTGGATCCATCAGGTACACCAACCTGTGTGTGTGTGTGTGTGTGTGTGTGTGTGTGTGTGTGTGTGTGTGTGAGAGCTCTCTGCTAAAGAAATAAAACATCCCATTAGTCGTATTTAGAAAAGGCAAACTGCAGCCTGCGAGCTGAACTACTGAGCGACAGGAAAGTGAAGCGGCTTTTGGTCACATGACGACACCGAGTCCCAGCTGGGGGGTCAGCAGTTGAAACCACGGTGGGAACTCTGGTTGGGACTTCAGTCTCAGACGTCACCGACTGAGGAGGTCCTCCACCTCCCCTCTTTCTCCTCCACCTCCCCTCTTTCTCCTCCACCTTCTCTCTTTCTCCTCCTCCTCCCCTCTGTCTCCTCCACCTCCTCTCTTTCTCCTCCACCTCCCCTCTTTCTCCTCCACCTCCTCTCTTTCTCCTCCACCTCCCCTCTTTCTCCTCCACCTCTACTCTGTCTCCTCCACCTCCTCTCTTTCTCCTCCAAACCTCCCCCCCCCCCCCCCTCTTTCTCCTCCACTCCACTCTGTCTCCTCCACCTCCTCTCTTTTCCTCCTCCACCTCCCTCTGCCTCCTCCACCTCCTCCTCTTTCTCCTCCACCTCCCCTCTGCTCCTCCACTCCTCTGTCTCCTCCACCCCCTCTGTCTCCTCCACCTCCCCCTCTTTTCTCCTCCACCTCCCTTCTTTCTTCTCCACCTCCCCCTCTTTCTCCTCCTCCTCCCCTCTGTCTCATCCACACACCTCCTCTTTCTCCTCTCCTCCCTGACACACTTGCAACCCGCCGAGTGTTTGTGTTACCAGACGATTCAGAGACTCTGTGTTTGTTATAAAAGACAAAGAGCAAGTTGCTATTTGTTTGGACAGATCGGTCTGTGTGTGTGTGTGTGTGTGTGTGTGTGTGTGTGTGTGTGTGTGTGTGTGTGTGTGTGTGTGTGTGTGTGTGTGTGTGTGTGCCTTTGCTCTTGTTTATGTGAACTGAAGGCCGGGGTGAGTGCGCGAGAGTGACTTCACGCTTTTATCTGGGTGTGTCGCTCACTCTGACAGAATTAAGAGTTTAATGTGGAAAATAAACGACAGTAACCTTAATTTCCTCTTCGCATGAGGACCGAACTTTCTCTTTTTTCTTTCTTTATTATAGATATTTCATCCAGTTCTTTTTGGTCTATTTTAACGTAATTTGCAGCATTAATCAGGGTGTTTAATGTCTTTAAAGGGTCACAGGTGAATAAACAGCTTTATCTAGTCGGCGCCCTTTTTGTCTGTTTTACCAATAAATCCGCTCTGAATAAACATTTCCTGGCTCTCAAAGACCAAATCACGATCTTTCTCTTTGAGTTTCTCCAGGTTTACAGATTGACAGTAGAAGCTATTTCTGTAACTCAAACCCGTTTCACACGTAACTCAAACATCGTTATCGGCTCCCGGAGGAAGCCTCCGCTCAGCCCGAACCTACGTCAGTTCAAGCTGCACCTCGTTGCAGGTTCAACCTCGACCCCGAGAGGACGTGCACCGACGACCGCCTGTGGGAGGCGCTGGAGATCGCTCAGCTGAAGAACATGGTGAAGGCGCTGCCCGGAGGACTAGGTACCCGAACGCCGCCTCAGGACGCCACGCGGTCCCCCCCCCGCGGCGAAAGCTCTCGTAGGGTGCGCTTGTTCTCGTGCACTGAACGTGTGTCCGGTTGGTGTCCAGATGCCGTGGTGACGGAGGGCGGGGAGAACTTCAGCGTGGGCCAGAGGCAGCTCTTCTGCCTGGCTCGAGCCTTCGTCAGGAAGAGCAGCATCCTCATCATGGACGAGGCCACGGCGTCCATAGACATGGCCACGGTGCGCGGTGGCGGGTCACGGCGGAAGCGTGACAACTGCATCTAAATGAAATATACTTCTGCGAGCAAATCGTTCTTTCTTTTCATCGCATTGGTTCCTTGCAGGAGAACATCCTCCAGAAGGTGGTGATGACAGCCTTCGCGGACAGAACGGTGGTGACCATCGCAGTAAGTCGCTCTGTCTGGGTTTTATTGTTTATCGAGGTTTATTTCCTCCACCTTCTCGCACTCAGCTGTTTGTTTGATGGACGTGTGGCTCGTTTTCCGTCCGAGCTTCTCGTGCATCCGTCGCTTTGTGTCTTTTCTTTTCCTTTCCTGCACCATTTGGCCCCTTTTTCCACACAGTCTGTAATATAGTTCATATTACAAATGTCCTGGATGTGAAGTCGGCCCTTTTCTTCCACTTATCTTGCTTCCCCTCTCTGACTGTTTCTCTCTCTTTTGTCCTCCGGATACTCTTTTCTTCCGCCCTTTTCTACATCCCCCCCCCCCCTCCGCTGATGTTTCCCCGTCCTCCTCTTTGACCCTCCTCCCCCGCCGCCAGCACCGCGTGGCCTCCATCGTGGACGCCGAGCAGGTGCTGGTCTTCTCCTCGGGGATCCTGGTGGAGAGCGACTCGGGTCCCAACCTGCTAGCACAGGAGGAGAGCATCTTCAGTGTGCTAGTGAGGACTCACAAGTAGACCCGGATCGGCACAGACCGCTTTGGCTTGGCCCCCCCTACCCCTCCCCCCTCCTTCAGTTTTTTTCCACCTGTTTTTCCTGCTCCTTTCTTCCTGGCTGAGTCCGAGCCGGAATCCGGGTCTGCTGAATCCTGGTTGGTATCACGTTAAAATCCCCTGCATGATCTTCGTCAAACCCTGCGGGGGTGTGACGTCATTTACAGTGTTTAAATTCCACATTGTTTCAGTCTTATTTGGAGGAACACTGGGAGGTTCAGACATGCAGGGTAACAAAGGTACTAGAGGGTACTACACAATCTGCTTGAGACATAATGTCCAATAATGGGACACTACGAATCGACCATAGAAACCTATTGTACATATTTATTGATGTTGTTTATGTTTGGAATTCTAGGAACCAGCTTCCCTCTGGATGAGTAAAGTTAGATCGTTCAGTATTTAACTGCAATCAACTGTCAATAGTTCTAGTCCAGTCTATTTAAAACTATGATGGATTTTAAATGGGTGGGTCAGGCTTTAACCCCGTTTTGATATGTTAATACCCATGAAAACCTCTGTTAATTTAGTCAGTCATGTTTATATTTAGACAAACTAACTTCAACATAAGTAAGATACTCAGAGTTAAGAAAGTTTAGCCCGAAATAGGGACAACATCATCTGCAAAGAATCGAAGCCTCCATCCTCTTTTATCTTCTGTTTGGAACACGGATTAAACTATCTAAGCACTTATTCTTATTTTGTAGCTTTAATTCACGTGGCCACACACATGAATCCATTTCCTGACTCCCGCTCTCGGTCCCCAGCACCGCGTCCACACCATCCTCACGGCCGACACCGTCATCGTGATGAAGCGAGGGAACATTCTGGAATACGACAAACCGGAGACTCTGCTGGAGCAGGAGGACGGGGTGTTCGCCTCCTTCGTCCGGGCCGACATGTAGACGCACGCGTCCGTCGGTCCTTTCTGTTTTCTTCTTTCACGTTGAGTTTGTTTTTTCTTAAGCGAGGCGGACGGACCTCTGTGACGAGAACGGACGAACCGATCCAGAAACATTATGAATCACCACTTTATATATTTGAACAGTACTTGAATCATTCAGTCAGCCGATTAAATTATGCCTTTTTGTTTTTTAGAAACAACACCTGTAGCCAAATATCACCTAAGGGATAAACAGGTTAATGAGTTCCCCAATATAGTTTATCCAAAATACGCATATCAAGACAATAAAGAAATCATTGGATCACTGACTTTTAACAACCAGCATTAAAGAGTTAGTTACAAACATAGATCCCGCTTCCCTAAAGAGAAGGTTGTGTTCTTTCAATGGGATTTGTTGAGAATAAGAAAGTGTGGAATTATATTCAGAATGTATTTGGGCATGAAGTGTGTTCAGGAAGCCATTTAGCTTTTATTTCAGGTGTTATACGCGGTATATAAACCTTTTCAACTTAAAGTGTTGAGACTGCACAGCGTTACATTGAGATTTTGTCCTTTAAGGATAATTTATCAACCAACACTTCAAGCGTCGTTAAACATATCTTTTAATCCTTGGTATGTGTGTTATGATAAAAAATGTGAGAAACAATCTCACTGCAAAGGATTTTGCATTTTTTTAGACTGACACTCAATACACAGCTTTTAAAAACCTTTTTGAAAAGATCAGCGAGACGGATCTCAACGAAGCGCGACGATGGAAACCAACATCCAAGGATTTACTGCGTCTGTTTTTAATAGAATTCTTGTGGGGCCTGAAAGGGAGACGCCAGAACTCAAAGTCCACTCAGACTACTTGCAATGACCACCAGGAGGTCGACCGTGCAACGGTGTTTTCCAGCCCAACTTTTCAGCTTTTATCTTTATTTCCCGACAGGTACAACTAGCTAGGTAGCTGACAAAGTACCGCAAGGAGCAGCTCAAGAGCCAGAAATCTTCCTCTGGAGTTAGAGAACAATAACCGATCTAAAAGAAGAGATTTCAGAGCCCACAACAAAGTTTATGAGCGATAAAATGTCAGATGTTCTGCTGCCACCAAGTAGCCAAAATCCTCATTCTTATTCCAACGTAATGAACGATTTGTACAATCAGATCCCATTGGGGGTCGTGGCTTCCAAACTTTTCCATTAACTTATCCGATAAGGGTTGTAAAACCCTCAATTCGATACCGCGCTGTAGTCGACACAGGAGACTCTTAAAAACCTTTGACTTCTTCAGTTAACTGGACATTTGGCTGTACTTTTGTGCTACGAATCTTCTATGCAATCAGTCAACAGCGCGTTGACTTCATAACCCGTGAAGAAATAGCAGCTCGTTAGCTTAGCACAAAGACTCCATGCGGGTAGAAACCGTTAGCATGGCTCTAAAGCACCTCTGGAGCTGCTTCAACTTAATTTCTACAAAAGATGTGAAAATGACAATGCTGGTAATGTACCAGACTTTTATGCCTTTATGTTCCCAGTTAATGTTTATTTTGAGATATTAGTTTACGATCCTCTTTATTTAACATCATCAGCCGGTGGGCAGTTTTTAAAAAGAAACCTGAAATGAAAATAGCTCTAAACATTTTATGCCTGTTGATTCGCGCTGTCCCGCCTCTATTGCCCTTTGTTGTGTTATTCTCACTTTTCAAATGACTGAACTACAGACTAAAAGCCAAATAGATTCTTTGATATTTTTTAAAGATAAAATAAGATGTTTCATCTCAAGAAGTCATTATTTTTTCTCCACTTGTAAACGTCTGCCGCCACTTCGACTTTGAGCTTCATTTTTTACTGCGCGTGTGTTTCTGCTTCGTACATCTAAACACAATTAATCTATTCAATAATTTACAATTATGCCGTGTTTGCACTCGGTTCAATGAAAGGCAACACTTAGGTATCAATCTTCTCCCTTTTATAGATTTGTAACATATATATTAGTCTTTTACCCCATGTTTTGGATATTAAATACAAAACGCGTGGGTTACTTAAGGGTTGACATTGACTGTTAAATGCATGAAACATAGAGTGAACATCGCACGCACACACACACACACACACACACACACACACACACACACACACACACACACACACACACACACACACACACACAAATGATTCGACTGCTCACATGAATGCACATTTAAATGCAACTTAAATACCAGAAATAATTCTTCCACGTAAAGGGTGATTTGTTTTTTACTCTTAATGTATGTAAGTGTACATTCTGTATATCCAAGAATTTTTGAAAATATATAAACAATTGTTATGTGTGCCTAATTTTTTTACTCTTGAAATGACAATAAAATGTTTTATGAGTGAAATGAGTCGTTTTTTCTGCAGCACTTATACAGTTTGTTGCTAAAGAGCGCCACCTAGTGGCCAAGTGCAGTGGAGAAATCAAATAACCCCCAGGTTATTTCAATAAATGTCATAGAAAGAAACATAATTTTTTTTATTTTTAGTATATTCATGTGTATTTTTAAATCACAATGGAAATGGACTCAAACTACATGTTTTTATTTAATTATAAAAGTAACATTAAGTGTGGTGTTATTTAAACTACTTTGGGATTAACTGGAGTCTGCGTGTATTAATTATACAGAAAGCTCATAATTAGTTAACTGGTGTCACATTTGGTTGTGGGGTCTATAACAGAGACCAGAACTTCAAAAGTCCACCTGTAGTACATTCAGGGAATATAATCATTTTATTTTACACATTAAAACCCACTTAACGTGTTTAGCAGATTAATGTGATGTGTATAAAATGAGTCTAAATAGCAGGCATTTTATCATTCAACCTCATTGATGAAGGGGAGAGATCAATATTTGAGCTCAGGACACTTTATTTAAGACGATAGTAAAGAGCCACGGGAATTATTTTGGTCTGTGAATAAAGTTCGGTTCGGTTCGTCTGCGCAAAGCGCCGTGTTTTCCGACGGTCCCGAGCGGTCCTTGAAGGCAGCAGCCCCCTGGTCTGAGCGGGTCTGGACTCTGGAAGTCGTGGACTACGTCAACAGAGGGAGAGGAGACCTCCCCAGCCCCCCAGAGCTCCGAAACATCCTCCAAATGTCCACAGAAGGAAACGGGCCGGTGGACACGTCTCATCCGTGCGCAAAGACTGCGCACTGAACTCGGGACTAAAATAAGTAGCTCTGAGCTTTTAAAAAAAACCCAAAACCACACAGATCTTTTTTTTTTATTCAAGCAGCAGGAAGATGTTGGCGAGGAAGAGCATCATCCCGGAGGAGTTCGGGCTGCCGGGCCTCGCCTCCCGGATGCCCCGCAAGCCGGTGTTCAGGGACCGCGTGAACAAGGCGCGCTTCATCGCCAAGAACGGCTCCTGCAACCTGGCGCACAAGAACATCCGCGAGCAGGGCCGCTTCCTGCAGGACGTCTTCACCACGCTGGTGGACCTCAAGTGGCGCTTCACGCTGGTCATCTTCACCACCACCTTCGTCAGCAGCTGGCTGCTGTTCGCCATGAGCTGGTGGCTGGTGGCCTTCGCGCACGGAGACCTGGACTCCGGGGACCCGGACTCGGCCTTCGCGCACGGAGACCTGGACTCCGGGGACCCGGACTCCGGAAACGTGACCCGCGGGGGGGACGCGGACCCGAGGTGGCAGAACAAGACCTACTGCGTCACGGATGTCAAGTGAGGAGAACAGGGGGGGTTAGAAGAGAAAAGTGTGTTTCATGAGACTTTTTCTTTCTTTCTTTCTTTCTCCATCCATGCTTAGTTGGTCAGAACCTCCCCTGCTCCTCCTCCTCCTCCTCCTCCTCCTCTCCTCCTCTCGTTTTCTAATTTAAGTAGAGGACGAGGATGAAAAGGAGAGAAGCAACAGTTACGACCGTATGTCAGGGAACCTTTGTCTCTGTCAGGGAAATAAAGCACAGATTGGAGGAGGGGGAGTTTGGCACCTCCCTCTCACTCACAGTCTCTCCTCCTTCCTTCCTTCCTTTCCTTTCCACTTGTTGTCAACCACCTCTCCTTCAGGTGGGGGGCTACGTCCACTCGACTACTCCCTCAGTCTTCCCACATAATGCCATTTTGTACCTTTACCTTTAAGTGCCGCAGCAAAAGAATATAACGACAATAAATAAAACCATTTAAAGCCGAACTAGTTGTTTTTGTTCTTTTCTACTAATAATAAAACAGGTCGCCGAGGATCGACTGGTTAAAGGAAACTAAAAATGAAAAGTCTTAAATCATTTCTCTCCCTCCCTTCAGGTCGTTCACCTCGGCCTTCCTGTTCTCCATCGAGGTTCAGGTGACCATCGGCTTCGGGGGACGGATGATAACGGAGCACTGTCCGACCGCCATCACCGTCCTCATCATGCAGAACATCATCGGGCTCATCATCAACGCCGTCATGCTGGGTGAGACCAGCGGCAGAAAAAAGTCGTGCCCATTTAACTCTTCCACGGTGTCGCTGATCTGCCCCCGAGTTCTGGATCAATACAGTTTTATTTTATTTTATTTGACCCATGATGATCATTTGAATCATGCAAAGGGACGAAGTGGGTCAAAAATGCAGCTACTCAGTTCTGATACTTTGGAACTTGACAAATGTTGGAAATACAGCCTGTTAAAATAACTGAATAAAACTCCCACAATGCCTTGCTCTGTTTTTATTTAGTCCAATAACTCAGGCGTGGATTATTATCAACATCTGGTTCAATTAATCCAGGTTATTCCAGGATAAAGAACGGCTCTGATTGGCCCGTAGTATAACGAGGTTTGTCCTTTGCCGCTGTGAGACGCGTCCTCGCTCCGTCCTCAGGGTGCATCTTCATGAAGACGGCTCAGTCCAACCGGCGGGCCGAGACGCTGATCTTCAGCCGCCACGCCGTGATCGCCGTGAGGAACAACTGCCTCTGCTTCATGATCCGCATCGGGGACCTGAGGAAGAGCATGATCATCGGAGCCACCGTCCGCCTGCAGGTGTCTGCCGCCCGCTTCCTCCTCCTGGCTCATGACTAATCTGTACTGCCGGGTTCCATTTCCCCTTATTGCAGATTATTGTTATAGATATTGGACTGAAGTCTGGTTTTGTCTGTTAATTAAGCCCTTAAATTCCCGTCCCGCAAAGTCGAAGTAATGTCCTCTGGAAGGAGCCGAGGTGAGATGGAAATGAACCTGCTGACGAGTCAGGCCGTCTGCAGGTGGTGAGGAAGACGACCACGCCGGAGGGGGAGGTGATCCCCATCCATCAGATCGACGTCGCCACGGAGACCGCCGTGGCCAGCAACAGCCTGTTCCTCCTCGCCCCGCTCATCATCTGCCACGTCATCGACAAGAACAGGTGCCGCCACCATTTCCTCCGCGTTATCACAATATTAATACAGAATTTGTTCTAATTATTAATCAGGGCTGTCAATAGATTCATCATCTTAACATTAACTATCAACTATTATTATCATTTAACGTCTGTGCCATCAAACTCCCCACGTTTAGCAGCACGTTTTCTAACCACGTCTTTCAGGGACACGGTGGTCGTCCTCTGCAGACTGTGTGCCGCGCAGGGTAACGCTCCGTGTTGCGATGGAAGTAGCCTAGCAGCTAGCTTAGCCTAGCAGCTAGCTTAGCGGTGCTCTTTCTGTTTGCCACCCCCCCCCTTCTGTTTGACAGGTGGAGTAATTCCTCTCCACAGTTCTTCTGTTTGTTTTACTTCCAATGCAAAAAAGATCTCTCCATCTTCAGCCAGCGTCTTGCTCTCTTGCGTCTGACTGACCGCCGGTTAGCGCCGGTTAGCGGAAGTAAACAAAGTTCCGTTAACTACGTTAAAATATTTTATCGCATTAATCTCGGCCACGTTAATTGCATAGATTGACGCATTAATGTTGATTGTTAATACATCTTCTGTCTCCTTCTCAGCCCGCTGTACGACCTGTCGGCCATGGAGCTCCAGTGCAGCGACCTGGAGGTCATCGTCATCCTGGAGGGCGTCGTGGAGACGACGGGGATCACCACGCAGGCCCGCACCTCCTACATCTCGGAGGAGATCCAGTGGGGTCACCGCTTCGTCCCCATAGTGACGGAGGAGGAGGGCGTGTACTCTGTGGACTACTCCAAGTTCGGTAACACAATCAAGGTGAAGGGACATAAGTATCACAACAAAGTCTGCCGCTTTTGTATTAAACATCACTAATAAGAGCATGTTCATTTACCCCTTCGTCGCCAATCCGCCGTGCAGGTGACGACGCCGCGCTGCAGCGCCCGGGAACTGGACGAGAAGCCCTCCATCTTGATCCAGACCCTCCAGAAGAGCGAGCTGTCGCACCAGAACTCGCTGAGGAAGCGCAACTCCATGCGGCGCAACAACTCCATGCGCAAGAGCGCGGGGGGCGGCGCGGGCCCGCGGCGGAACAACTCGGGGCTCGCCTTGCCTAAAGTGCAGTTCTTCACCCCGGCCGAGGGGGGCCAGAACATGAACGCGGTCACCTGACATGAGGCCTGCCCCCTGCTGGCCGCACTGCTCCTCCTGGCGGCGAAGAGGACGGCGGGCGCGGCGGTTTCTCCGGCTCTGATGGGACTCGCTCTTTTCCTGCCTCGTTTGGCACGTTTGTGCGCGCGGGGCGATCTAGTCGCCGCTTGTTATTGATACGCGCTTGTCTCTTCGTCGCCGTTAATACAAACATTCAGGCCTTCAAGTCACAGATTTACTTCTACTGGTGGCAACTAGTGGCAATCAATCAATCACAGAACTGTACGCGTGTGTTTATCACTTCATACCGAATAAATGCACTCACTTCATCACAATGTGGTTTCAATGTCTCAATTAGAAGAGTTAAGACAAGAGACAGGAAAAAACATGCGCCGACCAATTTCAAGATTTTGAAGAAAACATCAAAATACACATTCCGGGGTTACTTTTACTACTTTGTCTATTTGCGTCTGTAGATGTCTCCAAAATCAAACCGAAGCTTTATGTTTTTATCCATTAGCACATTTTGTTCCCCTTTTCAACATGTTTGCAATATTACCAAACATCTCTTTAAAGGCCGTTTTCTCTAAATGAATGAATGAGAACAAAAAGAAATATTGAAATGTCCCCGACCATTTCTGTTCTGCTGAAAATCAGCATATTTAGTATGTAAGTAGTAAGTATGTAATATATTTAGTAACGTAATGCCTCATAACCGTTCAGAAGACACAAAAAAGTGTCTAAATGTCAAATCAACAGATATAAAACAATGCTTCAGCAAAATAGGCCCATTTACCTCTAAACTAATAAAGAGGAGGTTTCCTGTGTGACTTAATGAATAATTATTTCCACCTGTTAATAACACCTGATAAACATTCTGATGTGGAATATTATTCAAGTAAATTAATTCCTAATATCAGGATCGTTATCCCTTCACATGTTGGAAAAATGAAAAGCTAATTTGCTCATATGAAAGCACAAAAACTTTATAATGTCAACGTGAATGGGATAAATATTGAAATAATATCTTTAAAAAATAATAATAATTTAAATATACAATGACTCATTTTCAAAAATATTTTGTGAACAATTAAATCGCACATCTTTCTTTTTCCTTTCAACAATAAACACTTACATGATGAATGTCTGACCTGCTCGGACTGCGCTTGGTCTTACGCAGCGCTCACGTGTCTGTGACGTCGCCGCAACCCGGAAGTGAGAGCGGGAAGGTGAAGCCAGTGGGACAACAAACATGGCTCGTAGTTTACTTTGCAAAGCGGTCGGTGTGTTTCGGCTCAGCGGGACTTCGCCGCCGCCGGCGGGGCCTCGTTTCTGCTCTCGGGCTGAACCGGAGCCGCTGACGGTGAGACAGCAGAACGACGGAATAAGGTGCAGTAAGGACGACGTGCCCGTCATACTCCGTACGAGATTTACTATATTCACGGCGGAAATACAGATTTATACTACAATAACGTGGAACGTTGGTACTCACTGTACTTTGTTGCACATGTTTAGGCCTTAAGAATAATTCGGCGTACATGTCATTCCTGTGAGAATAGTATTTCTGTAATAAAAAGTCATTATCAGTGTACTGTTAGCTCAACATTTTCCTTTTTCAAGGTCTTTTGGTTGTCTTATCAATTATTTAACACAAATTACTACAAAGAAACACATACCACATATAATATATTGTATGTAATGTCCACGATAGAAGTATATTAAGATTAATGCAATGCTGGAAAGAAATTAAGTATAATTACTTGAGCAACGTTAATACATTAAAATACAACTTCTAGCTACTTTAAGTTTCTTTACATATATTTTCCATTCTGTCATATGAAACATATATGTGTGTACTTTTCACTTTTTTTCCTTTCCCTTTTTCCAGGAAAATAATATTGAACAACCCCAAGAAGAGGAACGCTCTGTCTCTGTCCATGCTGGAATCCCTCCGAGAAAACCTCCTCACCGATGTGGACAGCGATGATCTCAGAGTTGTGATCATTTCAGGTAGGTTGTTGTTATGTGCGACAGAGGGACAAAGATGGGGTTCTTACCTTCTAATGTGTGTGTGTGTGTGTGTGTGTGTTGTTAGCCAGAGGTCCCGTGTTTTCCTCCGGACACGACCTGAAGGAGCTGACATCCGCTCAGGGCAGAGAATATCACACAAAGGTGTTTCACACCTGTGCAGAGGTGAGTCCCTCTTTTATTGTGTTTCTTCTCTCTGTGTCCCATCATCATCATCATCATCATCACAATATCAGCCTCTAATGTACGATTTATAAGAAACCAATATTTGTCATTACATTAATCTGCACCAGTTATTTTTAGTAAGGTCTCAGGAATCGAATGTCGGGATTTCAAAACATTTTTTTCTTTCTTCTGATCGTTTGTTTTGAAGTGATTACATAATCTCTATGAGCTTTGTCACTACATTTGTGTTTTATTTTTATTGGTTATATTATATCGCTGTGTAACTCTTGTTCATCAGGTAATGACTCTGATACAAGACATACCGGTTCCGGTAATCGCCATGGTGGATGGCGTTGCCACGGCAGCCGGTTGCCAGCTTGTCGCCAGCTGTGACGTCGCCGTGGCGACGGAGAAGTCCACCTTTGCCACTCCGGGTGTCAACGTGGGCCTTTTCTGTTCGACGCCGGCGGTGGCCATCGGCAGAGCTGTGCCACGGAAGGTTAATTGAATTCATGTAATATACATATATATTAGGTTTGAATGGGTCTGAATAATGGGGCGGACACACACCTTATTTGACCTCATGGAAACAACCGTGGCGAAGGTCTTCTCTCTCTCTGAGTGCCTTTCTATTTAATAGCAACAGTCTACAAAACTCTAGTATCAAGCTGCTATTAAAAACACTTTTGGTCCCTTCTTTTTGACCAGGTTGCCATGGAGATGCTGCTGACAGGAACTCCCATCTCAGCCCGCGACGCCTTGCTGCACGGTTTGATCAGCAGAGTCGTGGCAGAGGAGCGACTCGAGGAGGAGACGTTGGCCATCGCCCGGCGGGTGTGTCAGGCCAGCCGGCCCGTCGTCGCCCTCGGCAAGGCCACTTTCCAGAGGTGGCCGTTTTTTTTTAACTTTCACTATTTTCATTTAAAGTTCCGGGATGCTTGAGATGGCTCAAGAGCGTTAGCGCAAAACAAGGAAAGACCATCACTGTAAATATTTTGTATTAACCATATTTGAATCAGTGAATTATTATCCTCATGAAATGCACATTTTTTCCAACATTTGAATCTCTAATTGGAGCCACTTATGTTCATAATTCTTCTGATGTTAAGACCCATCAGATAGTTCCTAAACGGTGGTGTTACGAAGGCAGTGGTTTAGTGTATTTCTTCTGCGTTCCTGCTTGTTTGCGTATCATCATATGTGGAACCTCCTCATAACAAATCTCTGCCTGCCGTTTGGTGGGTGGATTTTATTCAGCACTAATCAATTCACTCCTCCAGGAAAGTTGACCGTAAATGTTTTCATTTTGATTTTAGGTGTCACATTACTTTGTATCTGTGACATCATCACAGTTTGCCAAAGTGACCTTTCTCTTGTGCCCCTTTATGCTAAGAAACCATGACCAAATACTCAGTGACACTGAAAGTCCTAAAAAGAATTAGACGTCACAGGCGTGGTGTGTGGTTATCGTACCACGGCCATGATCCAATCAGCAGCTTGATATGAGCAACGTGTCCCGTGCATTTCCCCATTCACATGTTCCGTTCTCCTCCCATGTTTCCTCCAAAGACAAATGGCTCAAGGCCGAGACGCAGCGTACGCCACCGCCTCCAAGGTGATGGTGGACAACCTGGCGCTAAGAGACGGGCAAGAGGGGATCCGGGCCTTCATCGAGAAACGCAAGCCGGTGTGGAGCAATAAAGCAGAAAAGGCCCACGACTGACGGACTGTTGAGATCACCACGGGAGGTCGTGATTATCGTGACGGGCCCACGTGTTCGGCCGTCGCTGGTCTGAATTTATTTGCATCAGTCCCGAGTCATTTAATGGGCTATGCTACTTTTTAAATGTGGCTGTGTAATTCGCAAGATTACAATGATTGAGTTTTGAACTGTTGACTTCCTGCACATTGAGACTAAAGGCGATTAGCGGAACCATATTGTGCCTTAAAGCTGCTGATGAGAAAAGACTCTCGCCGTTACCACTCAGAGGAATTGAGCTGTTTGATGACTTTACTGACTCTTAAAGCTAAAGAATGCTGCTTCCTGTGTTTGTATAATTGTACGTGCAATACATATGGTTACTAATTGGTATTGGTGATTTTGAATGAGCGTGTTTCTGGAGGTTGAAGTTTACTTCATAGACTAAACTAATGTTTTCACACTGATCATTCAGCGGTATAACTCATGATGCTGTCACAGAAAGCCATAGCATCCTGGTATCGACCTCTAGAATCAATCATCATTAATTACAATTCAGTTATTAAAGTATGACTTTGCCTCAGTGTTTCTTAAGCACATACATTTCACTGTACACAAACAGAAGAACTGTATTCATGTTTCAAAACAAAGTTTGTACACTTTTGTATGTGTATAAGGATCACAACCAAAATAATAGTTTTCTTATGTCTCCTATCATACGTTTTAATTGTACTAGTTTTATTTGCTTTCGGTTTAAAAGTGCGTGTTTTTAACGCATTTTGTTTGTCGATGAGGTCACTTCCGGCCGCCATCTTTGTTCGGTGATAGTCGAAAACGCGATCCAAACTATTCTTTCCTACGTGTATTTTTTTTAACATCCCATCCAAAAGAGCACGTGACTTCCCAGAAACAACGGTAAGTGTTGATTATTTACGTAAAATATGCTTAAAGTTATGTTTCAGAAATAAGATGTGCGGTTTGTTACAACAGTGTTAGCTAACCTAGCTAGCTTTAGCTGTTGGCCTGAACGTTTTTAACTTAAACGTTCATTAAATCTGTCCCCGACGTGGTTGTCTTGCTAGCTGGTATATTTATGCCTTTTATTTCTGAGTTAGCTTCATAATGCTGCTTCTAATGGTTTAATGTAACGCCGTGCAAGTTTGTGGTGTTAGTACTATGACAACGTCATGTCAGCAGGAAAGCACGTGGTATCACAAGCCTTTTTAAAATTTAAATTCATTCATTGACCAAAAACAAAAATGACCTCAATAGATTGAACAATAACTCTAAAAAAATCATCTTGGCAGATTAATTGATGAATGTGTTGAAATACCAAGGGACCTTTTCATTTTCTGTACTACAGCTCAAATCTTGCTTCTCTTGTATTGAAGGGAAATGTAATTATTTATTGCATAGTGATGTATTACATATTCATTTATTACCGATAGAGTGGGAACAGTTCATTGCTTTGGAGGCAACTTTTCTCTCGGGCGAAACTCTTTTATTTGTTTAAACTCAACCTGTATAATTAGCTGAACATGAAACATATTGTTACTTTTGAAATACATAAGAACACTCGTCACTTGATTGTTCCATCTGTGAAGTGATGGAAACCTGCACAGTCGTGTATCAGCTTGTACTTCACGGATTGGCCATATGGTGGCGTGATTGAGTTTATCTGGTGACACCAGGAGGCAGAAAACTCTTAATTTCCAATTAGTTTTATTGCAAGTTTTTTTTTTAGATTATCCACATTTTCTTATTTTTGTCATTTAGTTTAAATTGTTGATTTGAAAAAGTAAAATATAATGCCCCAATTGATCAACTTACTATTTCATAAGACGGTTGTTTAGCTTGAACCAGGAAATATTTGGTAATAATATAATTAGCTTAGTAAATAAAGAATTACACCCGCTGAATACTAACTAGAAACATTAAATGGATATCCACGTTTGGATCCTCATGTCTCCACTTGGGGGTGGAGTTTCATTATTGGGCTCAAGATGAGGAGGAAGAAAAAGACGCAGATTCACTTCACCCACCTCGTTTTATTAAGCAAAGTATCAGGTCTGGAATTAGTTGTTCAACCAAAAACAAAGATAACTTGAATGGAATGGCCGATGCGGTTTGAGAACAATAAAAAGGGAAAGTGACCGCGGTTAAATGTCGGGTGTGCGAAAGACTCAGTGGCCCAGTGGAAGTGCCAGCAGTCGATAGGAGAGAACGTTGAGAATAATCAGACATAATCAAGGAAAGCAAACTAGTCCACATCAGTGTCTGGCTGCATGTGCTCGTGATGTGGTAATTAAAAAGACAAACATGTTACCTATGGTTACAAATCAGCTGGCTTATATACCAAATATATATTTATATATATATTATTATCCCTCACAAATTAGCGCTCTATGCTTTTAGTCTCTAATCAGGTTTGAAATTTACCTCAATTGTGTTTAAATATCCAATGTATTCAGAGACACAAATTGCACATCAGGGAGGAATGAAATCACTGAAACTGGAAATGAAAGGTTCCAAAAATAAACCCTGCTTTCAACTGTGAAGAATGGAAATCTAAATGTACTGTTCTTCAATGCTCTCTACTTCTATCATTAGACATAGTATTAATTCTTCTCTTTAAAAAATAACATTCACAAGTATATAAAGTAAACCGATCTCTTAAACGTAAATATCTCCAAGTAACATAAAAAAATAAAGAACGAAGAAAAGAATCCACTGTACATGTCAAACTCTAAAAAGATATATACCGTCACTTCCTGTTAATGATTTACATCCAAAAATAAAATAAAATCTTCAGTCAGTTTTCAAAGTGATCGGTCAAAACTCCGGAGGCTGGTGCGTCCCGCGGCGGGACAGTCAGAAGGTCAGTACTTCACACACACATAGAACAACAGAGCTAAGACTACTGCTCGTCTCCACCACAGTGTCAGGGACTACGCCAGCTTACTTACATTTTTATTTTTATAAAGTGTCTTACAATTTCCTATCGTCCGGTCACAGCAGCATGGACTCCTGCATGGCGAACGCCTGCTGCGCGTGCCTGTAGTGTGGTCCTCCGAACAGCGGGGGGAGCTGTTGCTTCTGGAACTGAGTCCTGTAGCCGAGCAGGTCGTCCGGGTTCGGGGGGAAGGAGAACTCTGGGACCGGAGACATCTGGGCTTGCTGGAAGCTGGGCGAGCGCGGCACCCCGCCCGGGGACAGAAGGGGCGGCGCCGCCGCCTCCTCCGGCGCCCACGCGGACCGCCGGGACCCGCTGTCTGGCAGGTAGTGCGGGAGGGCCTCGCCCCTCTGATGCGCCTCGAACGCGTAGTCCGCCGGAGCGTAGGCCGGCTGCTGCAGGTAGATGGGGGCGGGCCTCCCCCGGGGGTCCGCCATCAGCGGGTGCTCCGGGGGGGGCCTGGCGTTTCGGTCGGAGCTCGGCAACAGCGGCTGCCTGCGGTAGGTGGCGTAGGAGTTGTTTGCGAGCGCCTTCTGCGGGGAGTGGCTCCGGCGCTGTGTGGTGGCGTACGCCCGCTCCCCGTACACCGCGCTGGAGGGGGGGGTGAACCGAGGGGGCGGGGCATAGAGTCTTTCCTCTCCTCTGTGGTCCAGGCTGACGCTGTAAGCGGGATGCAAGATGGGGACTTCGGTGGTGGCCCGGCCCGGGGAGTGCTGCTGGGGAGGGGTGTTGTACCGGCTCTGGCTGCCCTGGAAGCTGGCGTGGACCCCCCCTGGACTGTTGTGGGAAAACGCAGGAGGAAGCGGCTGTTGGTTTGCCACCCTGGGCCCCGACGCCGCATAGGCGACGCTCCCGTCCAGGGCGGGGCTTCCCTGATGGAGGGACGACGCGCCGAAGGGCGGCTCGCCGCGAGGGGGCCTCATTCTGGCCGGAGGTCCGTCGAGCTCCAGGATCTCAAACTCGGGCTCCGGCACGCCGGGGACGTTGTCGTACTGGGAGGCGTTGGAGCCGCGGTTGGAGTCGGCAACAAAGCCCTTGGAGGGGGGCCGGCTGTTTGGCAGCGCGCCGTCCTCTGGGCTGGAGGGGGCCGGTGACGCCGCTCTGCTCAGCTGGACATCCCGGCCCGCCGCCTTGACCGCTTCCAGCCTGGTCTCGGAGGGCTTGAACCACCGGGGGGTGATTTCTCTGCGGGAGCTGGAGGCCGCGGCGGCGTGGCTCTGAGGCTTCGGCCTATCGCCCACGATGAGCTGTGGGGTAGGGGTGGGGGCCAAGGGTGACGTTGCCGCCCTCTCAGGCGTGGCGGCGGCGGACTGCTTCCTCTGCTCGTCGGGGATCTCCCCGGACCCTCGGGAGCGCACGTCCCTCTTGTCGACCTTGTGGTGACGGATCGATTTATCCAGCGAGTCCCGGCGTGACCGGCTGGGGGGGCGACTCCCCCGCTGGCGCTCCGGTCTGGGACTCGGGTCCCTGGGAGGCTCGGCCGGCTCGGCGTGGCTCTGACCGTTGGCCACGTGGTTCGCCGCCACCCGCTCGGGAGGAAGCTGCCCGAGGGGCTTCTTGGGAAGCTCGTCGTCTTTACCTGCGAGACGAGAGAGGGGAAACGCGTGAGCGCGCCATCGGGAGGCGGGACGAGCGGCGATGGTTCTGACACACTGTGGGGACATGGATTCATGCAACACCACTGCCACAGAGAGGTGACATAAATAAAGGAGCAAAGGACAGAAAAAAAACACCACAAGTGATGTTCGATAGTAACTCTGCGCCTGCTGGAGGGGCTCAATGAGGAAGTGACATTCAACGGGTCCGAAGCTAAGAGAGTGTCTCCATGTCATTAAACGGTTCTTAGCTGCAGCAGCGGCCCCGGACCCACGAAAGGTCACAGACAAACAGTTCCTGATCAATGAACCGAGAGCGATGAGAACGAGCACCAAAGCCACATTACGGTTTCTTTGCTCCTCGGCTGGGACCAAGCACACGTTACGAGAAGACGTCGATGCTAATGCGTCGCGCCAAAAAGAAATAAAGAAAAGTACAGTTGACAGGAACGTATACAGGGTGCAGACACGGCGTTGTTGGGGACTGGAAAGGGGGGGGTCAGGAGAGGAAGTGCTGAGTGAGCAATGCAGGGAGGAACCTCGCGGGAACCAAACACCCCGACTGAAGGAAACCGACCTAAAGCGCGTTAATATACAGCTCCAGTCTGCTAAAAGGACTCATTTGGAACGAGTTCTTTCTCGCACCAAAATGAATACGGTTTTGTTTCGTCTTTCATCTCATCGCCCTCCTCTGTTTGTTGCTTTTCCTCCTGCAGGAGATTCAGAAGACGTTTATGGGGAAATCTCCCATGAGAGCTCATTAAGATTTTACATTTAAAGGCGGATAAACAACAGGTTTTGGCCAAAATTGAATGTTTAGAACCTGAATATATGCAGCATATTGTGACTTAAGAAATATGATCACTGATGCAATTAGTCTATTATATCATACGTCACATTTTAATGTCAAAAGGAGAAATGCAGTGCAATGTAGTTTATGAAACCAAATGAACTATGTATATTTAATAGTTATTTATTTAAAAAGCTAGCTATATAAATGCAGCGTCAATATAGCCTATATAGTGTATCTCAGTTAACTATTTTAAAAAATAGGAAGATAATTGGTTTAGATGAACTTCCTCGGAAGTACATTACAACATTATTTGATTAGTTTGTCACTTTATGAGCGAGCTGAGCTACCAGGTATCACTATTGTCCTCATTCTGCTCCGCTGCAAACAGGAAGTTGTTTCCGTGGTGTGAAACAATGGAGACCTCAACCGAGTCCTCCCGCGAGTACAGAGGAGGCTCCAACAGAAGGTTGGAGGGAAATCAAATCGCAGCAGATAAAAGATGCAGTTATTCCTTGTGTGAGAGTATTTTTTCCTATTTTTTTTTTATCTTGAACACATTTAATATGTTTACTGACACTGTAAGGACACACATGAGCTTTTGCTGACAGAAAAGAACAAAATCCAGCCAGCGAAAATCAGGAAGCCATCTCAAACATTCGCCTGGAGAAGTTCAAAACCAGAAAACCGCCGTTGTTTGTTCCACTTCAGCCGATTCAGATAAAGAGAAGCTGGTTTTAAAGTGTCTGTGGAACAGAAGCCTCCAGTGTTTGAGGAGAGGCTCATTGTGCCGTCAGCGCGACGAACAGACAGCTACTGTAAGAGACGCGTGGGCGCCGCAAGAAAGGAACATTCCGCTTCCTTTCTTCACAGGACGGGAGAACATCTCACAGACAGCGACATCTGTATCGGCCGCCTCAAACGGGGAGGATCTATATTTAGTTTGCTGAAGCGCTCTTCAACTGCAACTCCTGCCTGTACCTCATGCACAAACAACAATACACCGTGATGAGCTGTCTCACACACACACACACACACACACACACACACACTTGACTATACGATGACGTCCCGGTGTCGCGCGGTACCTTTAGTTGGCCACCAGGGGGCACACGGTCATATGCACTTGAATTGAAGGGTTCAAAACAAAACCAGAACTTAGTCAAAAATATTAAGTGGGGGGGGGGGATAAAAACAGCTGGAAGACAAGTTTGTGAAGGACCCCCCTCCCTTCCTCCCCTGTTGGACAGACAGGCGACAGACAGGACTGACTGAGGGACAGATGGGACAGAGACATGGAGAGGGGAAGACCCGTCAGCATAGCCCACCGGTTACTGTCGTAGGAGCGAATGTGGCCCGCACTCACGGCCACACTCTTGCTGTGGTTGGCTAACATGGTTTGTGAGAAGAGGGGAGAGAAGGAAGATTAATGAGGAGACAGAGCAAGAATTAGGAAACACACTGTTATTAGAGAGGACACAGCCGGAGGACAGCGGGGAGCCACAAGCAGAGAGACGGGCCTCTTCAGGTGGGAACGTTTCTCACTAGAAACGTGTCGACAAATGGCCGGCACGCGCTAAAGGCCTTAAACAATACGCACTTATATACCAAAACGTATTTTAATCTTGCTTTTATGAATAATGGAGGTCAAAGGCTTGGGGAAGGGAGTCACTTCTGCATTGAATAGATCTCCGGCTCTACCTGCTACGGGCAGCTCCAGCTTCGCCCTCCTCAGCTCCGCCATGGACGCCTGCAGCTGCTCCACCACAAAGTCGTCCTCGAAGAAGAAGTTTTTGGACAACGTCACCTGCAGAAACTCCACCAGCTCCTCCATGGAGAGCTTCATCAGGTGCTCTGTGGACGAAAAAAGGCACCCGTCAAGACGTCCGGACCGTTGACGCGGCACGGAAGCAGCGGCGCTCCTCTTACTCTTGTGCAGCTTGAGGATGGTGTAGGACATGGTGGGCAGCACTCGCTCCCCCTCCAGGATGTAGATGTCCCAGATCCTGAGGGTGAGAGTGAAGGGAGTCTGGGGAGGTGGACGCAACAAGATGTTAGGAGGAAAGCACACCACACTTCTTGCTTAACATCAGCATTTGGTGCAGTTTTGATGCAGAAATGCCTGAATCACGTTGCATTAAAAAACTCAAGGGACTTAAATAAGGAGCGAGAATGCACTCACTCTGTCCAGGAAGCACTGGAAGAACCACTTCATGGTGTAGAGGCTGGTTAACACCTCCTGGTTGTCCTGCAGCAGCACAGAGACACTTACTGCGACACGCTGTACATCGTAGCGATGTGGTGCAACGAGAGACAACGCGGACGCCGTGCGCGTTACTGGTGTAACGGGCTGCTGCTCACCAGGTGCTGCTTCAGTTTGGGCATCATCTTCCTGAGGAGGCGGTCGTGGTGCTCCTGGAAGCGCATCAGCTTTGGGAAGCCGGGGATGAAGAAGCCTAGGGGACCCCGTGAGGGACGCTTGAGTTTAGTCGGTGGTCCGCCCTCATGGCGTAAGCGGCGTTTTGCTCACGCGCAGGTCCGTTCTTACCGTGCATGGCGTGCTTCGGCCCAGACAGCAGCTTGACCAGAGCCCAGAAGGCGTCCTCCTCGTTCATGTAGATGAGCAGCAGAGCCGTGATCTGACTCATGCCCTGGCAGTAGCCCACCTCCTGCCAACGCACAAACACACGCGCCGCGGTTACAACTTGCAACCGGCCCGTGGTTTAGGGCAAAGGGCAGAAGGCCAAACGGGGCGAGAAGGAGCCTCACCGTGTTGTACATGGAGTAGGCTGTGAGGACGTGGAACAGCGCCTGCTGCCTGAGACACACACACACACACACACACACGTATATCATACGCACATCTGGCATTCACTCCACCTCGGATATTCATCTTTACCTTCCAGTCCATTATTTTTGCGTCATGCTAAACCACCGCCTGGTTTTCAACAACTATTTTACGTCTACTCGGGTCTGCGGAGGGGGGCCGCGTACTTGACGTCGTAGCGGTGCATGAACATCACGTGGTCTCTGTAGGTGCGGTTCACATCCAAGTCGATCTGACGGATGTCGGGGGAGACGCCCCTGGCCCGGGCCTTCAGTTTCTGCGAACAGGGACATGAGCGCACCGGTCAGCTGCGTGGAACACGTTTAAACCCCCTGCTTCAAAGCATCGGCGTGAGCGCGCTTCGTTCGATGGCGGCTCTCCCCACCTCGTAGAAGTCTTTCTTTTCCTCCTTTATTTTGGGAACGTCGAGCAGCAGACACCACACCTCCCCGCGGAGCTGCAGCGGAATTCCCTTGTAGACGCGCCGGACCAGCTGGAGGAAACAAACGCGTTCAGCTTTTATTTCAGGTCCTACGACATGACGTCGTCCACGGCAACGCTTCCCTCAGCTCCTAGAGCTTCACCCGGGCCGACATTTCATTTGATTATATTTCGCAGTAGATCAGCAGATCACCTTTTCGCTGTTCTTGTACTTGTCCCAGCTCTTCAGCATCTTCAGCCACTTGGAGGTCCTCTCCACCTCCACGTGCTTTTGCTGCGTGGAAGGAAAAAGCGACACATGAACAACTTCCTCCGTTCTGCAGCACCACGTATCATCATCATCACCACAGGTGCATGTTGGGTTGAAATGCGTAATGGAGCAACTCACCTTCTCCTCCACCGAGTCGTAGGACGGGAGGTCGTTCTTCCTGAGGGGAGAAGAACAGAACAGATCTCATCTCTGGAGCATCGGGCAGGAAATAACAAATGAAGTTCCCGAAGCTCAGAGCTTCTCTGTACCTCCACATGGCGCCGTATGGAAGCCCGGAGGGGACTTTATTACCATAATAGAAGCTCAATGACATCTAATTAGGTCCCTAATTAGGACATTATTCAGAAAACCTTAAAAATAAAGTGTCACTTAATGTTCGTGTCCTACATTTGATGAATTAAGCCGTTACACAAAGGAGGCTCGTCACCCAGTGACCTTTCACCTCACGCTAAAACCCAGATGTGCTTTTCTTTCTCTCTCCATCGTCCAGCGCTGTGAGCAGATGATGGAGATGATGACACACTGTGTCTGAGCAGGCGGCTTCCTGCTGCTCGTATAAATGGATATAAATATATACATTTATATAAAAGCCTTCACAGCCTCTCTTTCGCTCCCCGTTCCCTTTGAAGTTGCTCAGTGGGCTCGGGGGGGGGTTTCATTCATTCATTCATTTATTCAGCGATCGGGATGATTGACAGCTGGTGACGGGGCGGGCGGGTTCTTACTGGACGAAGCCGAAGCGGTCCACGACCTTGTACAGGTGATAGTTGGTGTCCTCCCAGGGCTCCACGGTGGCCTCTTTGCCCTGAACGGGGGACAAATGAAAGCAGACGATTGATTAAACATCAGTCAAACTGGAGCGCTTATATAAATAGTTTTGTCTCAAACTTTTCTGACATCCTCCTAAACGTTCCTCCACAGACGTTTGCGTTCTTCATAACTATAAATCAGCGTTTCTTTTGTGCTTCTGAGCCCTGAAACCAACTTTCCCTCAGAGGCTGAATGTGTCTCACGTTGTTTTATTAAATCATTTTCAGAAGCCTCTGTGTGAAACACAACAATTCAGTTCAGGGTCTGAAACCACTGCAGTAAATCAAGACGTTTCTTCAGCTTTTATCAGTTTGAAGGCTCAGCCGGGTTCATCCTCTGAGGATCATGAATATCCGGACAATGTTTCATGACACTTCATCTGGTTAAGGAAAACATTTCAAGACTAAACAAATCATTTTTAATATCCACAGACGAGCAGCGTGAGGTCGCCGTGAGAACACACACACACACACACAGACGCACACGCGCGCACCTCCTCCCTCGTAATGAGGCCGCGCGCCGGGCCGGTTCCACCGGTAGCGCCGGCTTGTGAAGTGGAGGTGTCACTCACACGCTCCTTCGTGAAGTCACGTTTCCACCACTAGGGGAGCCGTTTGGGGGATAAAACACACCTTGTCATATTTGGCGACGATCTCCGCCCGTTCCTGGTCGAGCTTCACCGCCGCCTCCTGATCAGACGCTGCAGAGCAAAGAAATGAGAGGAGGAAGATTAAACCGGTGTCGAGTTTTCGCTTTAAGTTTTTAAAGGGACGACGGTACGACCGACATCTGCTAACGTCAGCATGGCTAAAAACAACTGAACAAACTACTTTGTAGTTTGTAGTAGGTCGACAAACTAGACGACCACCTCGACCTAAAAGCAACACATCAAGTGTCAAGATGTACAGAGTAAAACTGCCAATAAGCTCCTTCAAAGGACTGTTTGTAGGATTTACATTATTCTCTCATCACGCCTCCAACTCTCCCTCACACACACACACACACACACACACACACACAGGAGGCCTGAATAAAGTGTGTTTGCATGAAGCTTTTTCTTGTGCGATGAGTATTTGCCACACTAGTGGGGCATGTTGTGTTTGCGTATCAGAGGCACGTTATGAATCACACACCCGAAGAGGACGACGCATTTAAAACGCACTGAAGCCGCGACGCTTCCTGTGCGGCTCGCTGATAACCTTTAAAGGTGGACGCGTGCGATTTTAAAACGTTTTAATTTTAGCCATCAAGTTTGGGAAATGTTTAAATGCGAAAATGAAAATTGAACGTGTGAAACTGGAACGTTGGACTGATGTTTCCTCTCAATCGTCCAACTGTCATCCCCGTTTTTTATACTTTTCTTCGTCCACTCACAGGACGCACTTGACTCCGCTCGTCCTCTGGCTTCCTGTCGGGGCCCCCGGGGGCCGACAAACACGCCCCTTATTGAGCCGGCCGGACGTTTTATGACAGGATGGTGTGTGTGTGTGTGTGTGTGTCTGTTGGTCAGTGAAAGGCATGTCGCTGCAGTCTGCCAAGAGCCCACAGCGGGACTCAGCGCTATTGGTGGGGGTCCCATAGACAACAGTTGGGGGCAAATAAACAAATACAGTAAAGCCCCTTCTTTTGGCTGAGAACCCCCCCCCCCCGGGGGCCATGTGGTTCCCATAGTGAGAGCGAGGGGCATTGAGGGATATTAGTATCCCCAGTGGACTCAGGCTGATGCCATCCGGCCCCTTTCATGCCAGGAGGGTCTGCTGGGGGCCGTGACGAGGGGGGGGGGGGTACTGGTCCACCCCTTTGTGAAGGAAACTTTACCCGGTGTTTATTTAAGTGGCTCTGAAGTGTTTATCTGTTTAAGAAAACTGGCCAAGAACAAAACAAACAGAAGTGTTTTTATTGGCTGGTTTAAAATATGTAAACAGATGTATTTCATATTTCCATGTGACACTGATTTCAATGGAGATTTGGCGGATTTAAAGCCTCCGCAGATGCCTAAATCTCTAATAGCTTCTGTTTAAATATATTAAAAGGAGGTTTTTATAGAAGAGTTGAAACAAGCTGGAACCCGACAGAACAAATGAAGCCCGACAAACACCTGATGACGCAACACGGCGTGTGTGTGTCATCACGCCGCTTCCAAGACAACCATCTGCCCCCCGCCTGCGTGTCCAACCCCACCTCCACCGCACGTAGCACCCTCGACTCAGAAAGGCTCGCCCCCCCAAAGGCATTTCACATGAGCATACGTTAGCACGCCACATTAGCATTCCAAGGGGAAGGCCTCATGTTGTGTTAGCATCGCGTGCTACACACATGAACTGAGGTTAGCATCAATCTGCAGGGGGGGGGGCAAACATTTGACAGGAACACAAACCAGTTAAAACAAAAAGTCACGTGGACCTCGAGTGTGAAATCACAAGCCAACAAACGCTCATTAAAAACGTCCTCAAGCAAAAGGACGACGCGTCGTTTCCTCTTTTACCTTTTTTCAAGCCGAGCAGCGGATCCTCACGGCGAGCCACAGCTTTAGTCCGCATCGCTCAGCCGGGCCCGGACAAACCCCACGGACGGCCTGAACTACCAACCGCGTCTCCGTCCCTCCCCACTGCCCATGAGGTGGGGGGGGGGGGGGACGGGACGGGACGGGTGGGGGACGAGGTGAGGTCAGCGAGCTCACAATGCGTCCGTTTGTCGCCTGCAGCCGCAGAGACATGAGCCGACTTCAGGAGCGCGCCGGTCCCACTCGCTGCATTCCCACCCGGACACACCGCGGGACAACAAGCGCCATTCAGCACATGGGGGGGGGGGGGGGGGGGGCTTCTCCAAATGTCACAAACGTCCAAACACGACTGTTGCTTTTTATGTAACGATTTCCAAACAGGCCCGGTAGGGAGTAACAAAATTTGTGCGAGAGAAAGTTTTTTATAAACTATGCGAGAGGTGCGGTGTGGTACCAGAGGGGGGGGGGGGGGGCTTTCTCTTTTTTCTTTGAGCTCCATCGCTACAGGAAATATCTGTTTGTAGGAGGAGGAGGGGGGGGGACTCAAGTACTGTTATCACTTCTGAGGCTCCAGGGTCAAAGATAAGGGGGGGGGGGGGGGTCAGACGTCAGACGTCACTCTAAATAACTGTAGTAATATTGTAAATAAGCAGCTACAATCAGAATACCAACAAAGACACACCTCTTCAGACTCTACCTCCACTAAAGACTAACAAATTGTAGCCCTTAAATTGTACTTGTAACGTCACTCATCTACAGCAAATTGTAAATTGGCTTATTTGAGGAAATTGCACTTTCTTGTTCTCCTGAGTTTGTACCCTATGGTTGAATGCACTTATCGTACGTCGCTTTGGATAAATGACATGTAATGTAATGTAATGTAACATCTACCGTACGAGCTTCCGTTTAAATGTGGTGTCTCGATCGGATGGTGGACCGCTCGTCGGCTTCTTGTTCCCATCCTGGGGGGCTTACAACATGCACACACGCCGTCCCGCGGCGTCCTCGCCGCCGAATCAAACCAGCGACGGACTAAAGAGCGGAACCCGTCCGAGATGCAGACGGGTTTGTGGCGAGAGCTGAATGCAGCTACGTCAACTCCTTCCTCCGCCGCTCAGAAGCGGAGCTGCGTTCCTTTTATCTGGGGACAGAACAAGTCACGGCACGCCGCCGAGGGGAAAAGATACCGGTTCCTCATTGGTTCCTGGTTCCTCGCTGGTTAAGGTCAAAGCCTGGGAGGTTGTTTCCTCATTTTCTACGGATTGCAAACAACACTTACTGCCATAACAATGTGAAGTTCTCTTAAGCTGCATCCTCTGCTCCCATAGACGTCTATGAGAAAATCAGTCTACTTACAGTCTGTAGTTTAAAGTCTTCTTCAACACAGCGTGATGTTCATTTAGTGGATTAGGGTCCATTTAGAGTCAAACAGACCATAAAGCAGGGGACGCTTTAGGGCGGGGCTACACGCTGATTGACAGGCCTCTCATGGATCATAAAGAAGGTGATGCTTTAGGTAAACAGGAAGTGAGAGCTAATCACGAGTTGTTAGCGTTTCATTGACATCCTCTAACACAAACTCAGCTGATACTAATGTTGTTCTTGACTTTAGAAGTCGATTTTCACCATTAAAAGCTGCATTTAAAGCACCCGTTTCATTTCCTCCTGTCAGATGCTTTTCCCCGAGGACCCTGGAACATAAGAACAGGCGCCTTTTGTGTCCTGGAGAAAGAAAGATAAGAGGTTTAAGGGGCGAGACTCCGGCGAGCGGAAATGACTCACCGCGTGCAGGAACAACATGCAACGTATTTGTGTTTGGAGCAACCAAGTGGAAACACGCACGCACACGCACACACAGAAACTGGTGCCAACAACATCACGGCCGACGCGGTTTGTCATTAACAAGACGGAGCGAGTCGTCGGCCCCCTCGGGCGCACAGGGATCCGACCTGGAGGGGGGTTTCCTCGCTCCAGTTGACATTTCATTAAAGAGTAACAACTCAAATTGGTGCATCCTGTCTTTTTTACATAGAAAATGTCCACATTGTTCTTATTTTGGTGAACGTTGTCATGATTGTAGAGGCGGGACGGTTTGTGGATCGGTTGAACGTCCTGCTTTTGGCAGCTCGCTCTTCTTCTTTGTTGGTGCCAAACTATTGAGTAGGTGAAAGATATAAAAAGGTACAGAACAGCTGGCCGTCAAGCTGAAGGTCGGCGTGAGCCTTCATGAAAAACGTTCTCACTTTCACTGACTGCTGAAGGCCAAACGTGTCCGAGCGCTCGCTTTGCTGGAGGCCGAACCGACACGAGGATCTGAAACCAGACGAGCGTCTGCGTTGGTTTACACAGGAGGAGATGTAGGGAGCCCAGGTGGGTGGAGCGCCTCCATCAGGTCGCCTCCATCAGGTCGCCTCCAGCACGCGAGTTTCATCTCTGTAATTCAATGACGTGAGAAGCAGCAGGTGGGGGCAGAGGGGAGGGGGGGGCGACCCCTCCTCAGCATGACGAGCAGAGAGACGCCAGATGATGGCATCAGATTAGGGCGGGGCTACACACTGATTGACAGCGTGGAGGTCAGCTTCTGCCCCCCCGACACCCGCTGGGCCCCCTCCTCAACTCATCAGCATGGACGCACACACACATTCATACACACACACACACACACACACACACACACACACACACACACACACACACACCCTGCAGATGGTTCACACGTCTGAATTCATGACACTAGAAAATAAAAGTGTCGTCGTTTGAAGCTTCTGGCAGCATTTGAATATCTGAGAGAAACTTTTTCTGGTTTTACTCCATCGAGTGTTGAGATGCCACAGGGGGGGAGGTGGGGGGAGAGGAGGGGAGGGGGGGGGGGGTGTTTATAATCCAGTGAGTGAAAGGATGACTTCTTTCATTTTTAAGTGTATTTTAATTCAACTCATTGGGCAGTGATGGTGTTCCAGTCACTAACAACATGATGTAAATAACCCCACGGGGGGGTTAATGGTTTAAATGAGGGTCCACGCCTCGGGGCTCCTGCTGGCTACGAGCTGAAACGTTATTTTATTATTTCTTCAAAAATATGAGTCATGTCAACTCCTCCATCAACTCCTCACACCATCATCAACGACGACACCTGGCCTCCACCCGCCGGTCATCACACCGCAGCACCTTCAAGCCTGCACAGCACTGCGGTCAGA